TGTTCTCACCATCATGTGCCTTTGATACAAACTACATTTCTTTGACATTGCCTTACTTAACAAACATATGGCAGCATATTTATTTATAACTAATAACAAACACAAATCAAACCTAAATTAAACCACCATTAATCTGTCCTGAGACATACTCTTTCTTTTCCCAGTAGGTACAGAGTAGGATAATGCATATAAGAGATCTTAGCAATGGATCACTCTAACAAAGAAAGCTATTACAATGAGGAATACTACACAAAACATTAAATGGAAGAGAAAACTCCAGAGAATCAGAGGGACTAACCTGTTCTCTCACAGCCAACCCTATTTTTGTACACCAAGCTAGTAGGGCAGGATTCAGGAACATTAGGATGCCAAACCACAGAAGGCTTATAGTCAGCATATCTGGCTTTTATAGAATCTCACAGAAACAAGAAGGGAAGAAAGAGATTGCTTTTTCCGGATTCCACACTTCTCACTCTTCACTCTCTGCCTCTGCATGCAACTGCTAGTCTTTTAAAATTCCAGCCTTAATGAAATAGGTAAGCTGCAGAAAAGATTAAGCTGGAAAATACAGCAGGAATACAGAATGAGGACAGGTGATTGATCTTTGAGTGGATATCCAACAGTGCAATGAAATTCTCAGGCTGGTTCTTCTTTATTTCGAAATGGTTTTGATTCAGAGGGATTTTATAGCAGCTAAATCATGCAGTTGGCACAGATTGTGCAAGCTTTTCAGCATGTTATACTCTGAAAGATGTCACATTTGGCAGAGGCAGTAAAGTGCCATGAATTTATTGTTGTTTCCCATTGAACACCAAAATCCAGGGCATCAAAAGATGATACAGCACACGTTACAACACTATTTTGTTGAGTCACTTGCTATCTTGGCTAGCACAAACTGCTGGGGGAATGCTATGAAATGCCAAATGGAAGCCACCTGGGTATGAGGGAAAGGCGAACTGTGTATAGACGAGAGTGACAGTTGCAAACTTGGTCCATGATTCTTCAGACATACTGCGTGTGAGCAATTCAACTTACTTGAAAATCCATCTCACTCTTGTAAGTGAATTCATTTCAACACATCTCCCAGAAATAATAACTTTACTTATGTGAGTAATCTCTTTAGAGTCAGGAGGACTTCTCATGCATGCCAAATTACAGACATGCTTAAGTATTCCCAGAATCAGGACCACGTATTAGGTGTTTAATTACTTAATCTACGTGTTATGGACAATTGCCTTTCTTATAGTAAACAAGAGACTGCTCTATCAGCAGGTTTAGCTTGTGTGAACATAGTGCTAATCAGCTCTGTACAAAAGCTGTATAAAGACACACAAAATAAGACCAAAATCATTTTTTATCCTTTTCTGTCTTAAACTATCAATAAACCAAGCAAACTTAAATTTCACCGGGGTTTAGTAATCTCTATTAAATTCCAAGTGAAAGTCAGTCCATTTTCAGGCAAAAGTAGAGCATAAAAATGTGACTAGAAACAGATGAGAGTGCTTTCTTCAACACCCATTTTTCTTTTGTGCTCATCTTGAGCTAACTGCTGCCATTGCAGAGCATGCTTGAAAAATATATGATATACTCAAAAATCAAAATACAAAGCTACTTCCTCAAAGATCAAGACATGCATATGTAAACAATCATCAGAAAAAGCTACTGAAAATTTATCAGGAATTCTCTGAAACGGATGTAAGGCACAGCTGCCCTCTCATTATTTCCTACATATCTACAAACTCAGAAAAAGTTGCTATATTTTACAATTCTGGAAGCTTCTTCTTTTAATAATTTATGTTGAAGGCTACGAGAGATGTTTAAGAAGCTTGTGCTTTTGTTTTCCAATTCTGAATATCCAGTCCAGAACTCAGTATCTCACTAAGTATATGGCCACCACATAAGTAGTTTATACAATAAGTAACAACAGCATGAAACATCAAAAGAGTTCTGACCCCCAGTTTAACCTTGCGAAGAGTCTATTCTCACTACTTTGGATATACAAAAGTAGCATTAATAGAGTTTGGGGTGTGCAATTTCTCTGTGTATTAAGAGCATTTGAAAGGTTTTCCCACATACCTCACAAATAGGTAAAGCATACCCGATGTCCAGGTTTCTTATTATAGGAGAAATGACATTAGATTGCTATTCACAACAGGAAAATGTCACACTTCTCTGTATACTCTTGTTCAGCACTTTTCTAATTTCACAGACCTCAATTTACATTTGTCAGTGTTTGAAGTTAGATGATATTGGTCTACTCAGGAAATGAGTTAGAGGGGAGAGAGGTCATTCACCTTTTGGCCAGTACCATACTTTGATGATGAATAAATAAAGCACAGCACAAGTGTGTCAGCAAAATATGGATGTCCTAAAGCCCTTTGATGCAAAGGATGATGTTTATTAGAAACAGAAGGTTAAATATGTAGAAACTATAAGGCTGAAGCGATGATGTCAAGAGACTGGCTAACGTCTTAGCAGAAATCCACCTTGTCATTCACCAAGTTTACAGACACAGAGGTTTCAATAGATTACCAATGCTAATCAGCAAATGTATATGGAAATTATATTTATGAGCCAAATTGCTAACTGTCTGTGGTGAATAAGCCCAAAGGAATTGACATTCGTAGTGGGCTTGATATAAAGACCTGTCAGCAGTTTCATTATTTTAATGGGATTCAGCCAAGATCCTCAGATGTTAATCTCCAATAAAGAAGCACCTATGTTACCTATGCTTTTGGGTTCCCAGTTCCATAACATGCTATATACTTTGCTAACTCTTACTTCATGTAGGGAGAACGGAGCAAATATTTTGTCCTGAGCATTAAAAAACATATTATTAAAAATTGAATGGCATAGCTAAAGATCACTGCATGCATTACTGAATTTATCCAAATACAAACTTGAAAATGTTTCAGAACTTCTTCCAGCTTTCTGTCCTGGCTTGATTCACGTTTTTTGCTGAAATTTAGAATCAGCTGAAGTTACGTGCTATCTTACTAAGGCACCTCTATCCCTGAATGGAAATTAACACATTCTTATGTACTCCTGCCTTTCTATTCGGACTTTGCCAATTGTCTGTGCAAGCACAAAAATCTAACATCACAGTTTGCGTGCACAAATAATAAGAATAAGAAGTCATAAACATTCCATGAACAAGCTGCCCAACAGTACATGGCAGACAATCTTGGACACCCAGTTTTAGATGTTTGCACATTTTTTTTAAAGTCTAATGAGTCTAAAAGATGTTTACTCACACATAACATTCTCCATCTATTGTATGGCAATAAGCACACAGGAAAAGGAAGCAAAATCTTAATTCAGACACAAAAGTCAAGAGAACAGTGAAGTTTTGAGTTAGAACAATGAATTCATTAAACCAAGACAAACAAACAAAACCCTAAACTGTTAAAACAAGGCATTTGAATAGTAACAACTGTTAAAATGAGCTCTGAAATCTCCATGCGACATGAGATTTTTATTGGCAAACAATTAAATCTCTCTTTAAGTGCACTTTCTCTGTAGAACCTAATTTATAATCTTATCAGGCATGTCTCTCAGAAGAATTTGCTAGTAGTCTAAGTCTTTATCTGCACAATGCAGAATACTAACAATTGTCTTGTATGTTTGTTTCCAATGTCAAAGACTGAAATTCCAATTTAAGGTTCTGACTGCCTTCAGAATTTGATATTATTTTTAAAGTGCTGTCACTTTTGTTCACATATTGTGCCAGAAAAAGAAAATATAAGAATAATAAAATTGAGTGGATTGTAAGAAAAAAGGAAAAGGTGATGTACTCAGGAATCAGTTTTCTATAGCTCATTTGCTGTTTTATCATTTTCCTGTTAACCTCCAGGGCCCTATTTTGTCTCAGCCCTACTCATTAGGATTTAAGTTTTACAATAAGCATTAAAGTAAAGGAAGTTAGAGGCAAGGTGGAATTAATAGAGTGCACTTTATGTATATTGCATCCAATTACGTATTTTTGAAACCTGTAGTAGGTATGCCTACACACACAATTCTGGGTACATGTGTATGTATATACATATATATGCACTGCATAGTTCTCATATCTCTCTGCCTTTGGTTTTTCTATAAATCTCTATTAGCCTAATCTTTCCCACCCATAGACCGACACCACAGAATGTTTCTAACTAGAGTAGTAGATAATTATTTTAAGCAAATAGTTTTAATTCTATAAACTGCTAACCTACCCTCGCTTTAGCAAAATGCACAAGTGAACAAAGATTTTTTTTAGCTAGCAAATCATACAGCTCTACACTGTTATTTCCTTCCATTCCTCCCAGCACAAGTTCTGACTTTCTTTAAGATACAGAACCACGTCAGTCACACACTGTACTAGCCTAGAGAGTATTTGTTTCATTTAACTTCTTTTTTTTTTTTTATCCCACTAATTCTTACAACATCAATAGGACACATTACTATTCCAAGCTTCCCTCCCCTTTTATTTGGCTCTGAATACCTGATGACTAATTCCCAGCTGAGATAATTAGTCCTTGGTTATCACCAGTTACATTGTCACCTGTTCAACTTGCAAATGTCTACAAATTTGAGTTTTCCAATTAGCACCATAAGATCCCTATAGCATACAGTTAGGGTGCATTTTTTTTTTTTCCACGAGGCAAATCACTTTTCACTTACACACTCTGCCTATTGAGTCTCATTTGGTAATAGTGCTTTAAAAATTATAGTGTTTTTCACAGAATAGACTTGTCATTGCCCTACCTCCTATCAAGCCCAGATGGCTGCTACTATAAAGGAGAGAAAAACAGAAAAGGGAATTAAATGAAACCTTCTCCTTAATAAGTATCCAAGTCAATTTAAATAGTTCCATTTCATTTTTACATCAGAGTCATGCCCTAGCATTAAGGCATGAAGAACATTCTCAGTCTGCTAATAAGCCCCATGACATGTTGAACTGGTATTTCAGTAAGCAGAATAAGCTGCAGTTTATTTTTAACTTCCATGGTATGAAGCTGTAGGTAAACTGCAGTAGAGGCAGTGGCCCAGTCTGGGTTTACTTTCAGCTGAACTTAACGAAGTGCCCTTCTTACTAAAATCAACACAAAATAATACTTGAAATTTGGAGGAGGTATTTGTGGAAGCACCATTTTAAATCCTCAGAGCACATGGTATAGATCACTTGTTGGTTTGCTTCATTTTCTGTAATGGCCACGGTAGATTTATAGCCCTTCAAGGGAGATGATTAAGACACCTGATAAATATGAAGTCCACAGTAAAAATACTCATGCCCCCCCCCTTTTTTTTTTTCACTCAGTATATCAGAGAAGCTCTTATAGCAACTTTTGAGCCTTCCCTCACTATTACACAGTGCCTCTGCAAATGTGAGAGGAGCTCCCATGCACAGACAGTGAGAACTGCTGGCCTTGAAAGATGAAAGAGGCTGTGACATTTGGGAGCCAAGTTCCTCCACTTCTTCTGGATGTGCTGAGGGTGGGCCACTGTAATCACTGAATCCCAAACAGGTAAGGCAAGAAAGAACTTAATTTCAGAGGTGTGTGCAGCATGTTATTAAAGAAGAAACTATTTTCCCAATTCAGTTCTGACTGACTCATTGCCTTTTTATGTCTGCACATCCCACGTTGATGTCTATGAGGATTTTTGTTTGCTTTAAGTAGAATTTGGTTAGGTGACAAAAATGACCCTCCGTAAAACACTAATGTATCTGAACAGAGCTGTTTTCAAGGTAGCCGTGCAGTGATATACAGTTGTGTAAGCGAGGGTTCTCATATACCTAGTAGCATCAACAATGCTATAAACATACAGTTAGAAACACCGTCTTCTGAGCCTAAAGCTAAATAATCCAATGAAAGATTTTATGACCAATACTAGTAAACAAATGGTTTCATTGTGAATACTAGAAAAAATGTTTCTTGCTGGTCTATGCTAACTACAAACCACAATTTGGCTACACCAGATGTTAACAAACTCACCTGTATTTTTCTCTTGTCCCCACTTAGCTAGCTTGGGGCAGGCAGTAGAGCTCAGGCTCTCAGATCCATTTGGGCATCAAATTTCCTTTGAAACTGAGCTGCTAGATTCCAAACTGTTTCTGAGAATCTGGGTTTAAATGGGGATACAGAGCCTGCTTATTGCTTTGTGTCTGGAGCCCATGAATCAGATAGACTCGCACACAGTGGAATAGGATTATTACTTCATGGCATGGGCATGCAGTAGCAGTCACGATCTAGCCCTTTGAGATCAAGGCAGCAAGAAATTCATGAAGATTTAAAGTAGTTAAAGGAGTTTATTTTCCAGGTGGGAAATCCAGGTGTCAGAAGGAAAGTAACTATAAATTTTCAACCCAGCTTTCCACATAAAACGTAAAGCCATTTGGTGCACACAGAAAGCTCAGTATGAACTACAGCTGATAGCTGGTGCGAGGTATGGTCAGTGGTTTTAAATGATTGATGGAGCTATCTCTGCACTAAAGTACTAAGGTTGGAGTAGTAGAAAAAATTGAGATCTGTTATAATGGTGCTTTATACCCTTTTTTCTTCCTCTGATGGTCAAATAGAGTTCAGTTGTATGAACAATTGTTACTTTGTACTAGTGATACATACGGTAGCTCTCAACACATCTCCAAAAGAACTTTATTCCAATGAACAGTAATAGTGCATGTGGAGATGATTTTTAAAACTTCTAATAATAATAAAGTGTTTCTACAGAAATGAAAGAAAGTCAAGCATATTCAAATTATTTCTTTTTTCTTTTTTTTTTATAGTTGATGAAGAAATGTATATGTGGATAAATATCTTATATGTTTTATTTTCATTGGAATACTCAAAAAAGCCTAAAGATATGTCAATGAGTGATCTTAGCTTAGTAAAAGTACTTCCTTTCATTTGCAACAGTTTCTGGTTTCCCCCACAGCATCCTGTTAAATAGTCTGGTACAGCCAGGAAACCAGAGACCATGCTGAAATAACAGCACGGTGTGCATACTGGGGATAGCACTGGGCAGTGACTCCTTTCCTTTTCAAATACCAGAAGAACCATGTGGGTTTTCAATCAAGTATCAGACATTTTAATATAATTTTGCTGAAATCGGTTACAGTGCTCAAGGACTATTCTACATGAAAAAGACAGATGAGGAAATGCTGAAGGAAAAGACTACCAAATACCCTCGAAGAAAGACTGTGAGACACTGACTCTATACTCAGCTCTGAGATCAGTATATTAGCTGACTGGCATTTCTCTTCCTGAGGAAAGATCAATGAAGAAAAGATCAGCTGAAGAAAGATCGATAGTGACCAGACAAACCATTAATTCATAAGAAAAGAGATTTTGCTTGGAGAAATAGCACATTACCCTGAGGCTCAAGCTCAGACTTGATCATTCTAAATCTTACATGTTGACCTGAATTCTCACTCAAGTAAACTGCAAGCCCTGGAAGAAAGTGCAGACAAGCTCCACGCTGGACAGGGGTCCAGACAGGCATAGCAACAGTGACCCAAACTAAGAAAGAAGCATGCCAGCACACTTAGTCACACCGCATTTGACAAGATAGCCCCTTCTGTTTCCATAAGTGGAGATTTCTTGCATGTGCTTGTATCAAAATGGAGCTATTCCTGATTTTTATTACAGATCTTCTATTTTGAGGTCCACAGGCTGTCCTGCAGTTGTTCTTTGAATGTTGTCTGGTTTGTCTTTAAATAGTGAGTATATACACATATAAAAGCACACCAAGTAACAGAGAACAAGGTGCTCAGTAAAAAGCATTAGGTGCTGAGGAAAAAGCTTTGATGTCCTTAAGACATTCAAGGAGTCATTAAAGAGCAGTTCACCTGTGGATACTGCCAAGGAGAGGCAGCACTACTTTACTGAGCATGTTTTAAAGTGCTGTGTGTTAAGTATAAGCAGCACAACTTTAACCAGTGTCCCGCTGTTTTAACTCTAGAAAGTAGTTTGTGATGAGTGTAAGCTTCATTTGGAGCAAAGTTCCAGCTTTTCCAGAACAAAAAAGAGCTTTTATTCTAATGTATTTGTTGCCCTCTGGTATTATATTTCTTTTTGAATTTGCACAGGGTAATGCACTTGTCACCAGGTACTGACTTGCTGCACTGCTGACAGGAGGATGCTAACTAAATGAGGGGGGGGTAACGGGGCCATCTGCGGGGAGCAGAAAAGCAGTTGAAGCTACACATGGAATAAAAAAATAGGCTTTCAAAGTTTAAAAGCAAACAAACAACAACAACAACAACAAAAAACAACAAACAAGAACAAGCAAGTAGTGATAGAGAAGCAAATTCAGCAATGAGTAGCAGAATTTTTCAGAGCAAAAAGGGAATTCCAAAACAATGCCAGAGTGAACACTGACTTCCACCTGATGGATTTAAGTTAAAATAAAATAAAATAAAAATCGCATCTGCAAACAAACAATACCATACTATGCAAGACAGGGTGTATTCCTCCAGGTTAAAATGCTATCTATTTCTCTTTGTGCTAGGAACCTTATGGTTCCTAGACACCTAACAGGTCTAATGTTTATCTTATGGTGGCATGCTACTAATTATGATTAAGTAATTTTTGGACACATACTTAATGCATATTGGCTCCAGGTACGTATTATCTTAATGGACTGCCACATGTACCCAATGAAATTATTAATTAAATCAAGTCTTATTCGATGCTGTGGTTAAAGGAAAGGCAACCTGGTTTATAAATCTAATCCCCTATCACTAGTTGTTTCTTGCTTTTAAAACTTTTACCATTCTTTTCCAATAAAAAAAAAAAAAAGAAAAAGAAAAAAAAAGATTAAATTTAGAATTTTGTTTTAGGATTATGTTTCAAGAATGTTTTTAGAATATCTGGTCCTTCCACTATTGTTTCTTTCCATAGTGAAATTTCATGGGAAGAATAGAGAGAAATATTGCAGTGTTATAGAGAGATACTTCAGAAAGTATGTAGTATCAACAAAAGAGTGTTTTTCCTCATTTTCCTAATATCACTACATATTTCCTTGGAAAAGTGGGGTAAAAAATCAGGGTATTGCAAGGATTTCCTAAACAAGAAATATTTTAAAATAAACATATTTTTCTTTGTTATCTATTTTTGCATATAATATAAATACCTTCCTACAGAAAAAAAAAATGAAGAATTTTGCAAAAACAATCGGAAGTAATTTCTGGTGGAAAGTCAAGACCCGCATAAAAAACAAAACAGAGCCAAAAAATAAAACAAAACCAACCAACCAAACAAAAAGCGAACAAACCCCAAAAAAACAGACAAATAAACAAAAACTATCACTACCAAAACCCGATTCACACACTGAAGCCTAGAATTCTGTTTGTCTTACAGCTGCACACGTAGCTCACTTGCACTGCACTTTTAGCAGGTATTCACAGAGCCCATGGGTGGGTTCCAACCAGACACTGAAATTTGTAAGTTTTTGTTATTTGGTAAGTGTAGTGGTGTCCCAGATATCCCAGTCAGACACTGGGAATGAAAGAGAAAAGGGTAATAGTATCGTAGCTCTAAGGTAATATGATTACTTCAGCTAATAATGTGCACTACTAACAGTTTCAGGTTTCTTTAACATGTTATCTTTGCAATTTTGGCACACTGTTCTTCAGTACCCATTATGGGAATGGGTCTTGCTGGTGAATTTGAAGGAGGAGAATACAGAGTTTCACATCCCATGAACTGTGAGAGCCCTTTTTGCTTTTGTTCGGATTTCAGCACAACTTACTGGGTGAAATCCAAACCTCTTTCAAGTCAGTGGGAGTTTTGTCATGGATTCAAAGAGGCAGAGTTTCTTTGAGGATAAGCTGCAGTTCCATTTTGCCAAACTCCGCATGACCAAAATGCATCGTTCATTTCTAGCTGCCTTGATCATAAATGTCTCATTTTACTTTATTCTGAGTCACTCCCCTGAAGTTTTCACTTACATATTTATTGTTGATTGAGAAATATCTAACTAATGATGACAGTCAGACATAATGGCCAATACTTGATAGATATTTGTCATTTTTAAGCAGAACTTTAGGAAGAGAAGCATTTCATGAAGTTCACGTTATTTCTGAATAAAACTCTAAGCTACCTAATCAACACTCCGGCAGCTTTGTCTTTATTGCAAAAATTATTTCCATACTCCCTTGTTAGAGGTTTGTCAGCTCTCTATGATTTGGCTCCATTCTGAGTTTACACCAGGTTAGCCAGCCTGGGGAGAACCACACCTTTTCCTTTCAGGGGAATTTGAGCTCATCTGACAGTTAACCTCAAAACCTGAATTTATACAGGAAACTTCACAGTGCATTTTAATATGGCATTCAGTTTAATTAGCACTTGGGCAATTCCTTTTGTTCTTGGTAAACAAAAGTAAGATTTGACAAGGAAGAGAAGAGAGTGTATTTGTTGCTTTCATATGTCACTCAAACTAGCCCATCACCATTCCCAAACTAATACTTCTTTACATGAACTTCTGCTAAATAGTGTTAGATTTTTAAGTCTAAAACTGGCAGGTTTTCCCAGGGTTGCATCTGATATCAAAATCAAGGTTTATTAACATTACAAAGAGCACTGCTGTCCTGTAGTGCCCCTTTTATCATTCTAAGCAGCTGCCTTGAGGCAACGCATTTAACCTTGGGAAATGTGAGAGGAATTGTGGGAAGTCAGAAATCTTTGACAGCTAAAGCCTTTTACCTCATCCAGAATCTGCTCTACAGCTTTAGCTCCCACACTGAAAAAAGATGAGCCCCTTATTTTCATTTGATGTTTATCTATTCTATTCACTGCACTTAAAATCAGAAGATAGAGCAGCATTTACTTACAAACAGTGATCTTCCATTTATGCTCAAAGCAGACCAGTGATGAAAATATCCCTTTCCTCTATGGAAACTGCTATTAGAAGGATAGGGGGGCATGAGAACTCAAACCATTTAGTAGTGTGCTAATTTTTTAAAGTAGTTCTTGCAGGTTATCTTACTCCTACGCATTTTATGTTTAATGATAAATTTCACATTACATTTTGCTATTTCATTACCTGTTGCCATCATTGCAATAGTGAAGGAAGTGCCATTGGTTCAGTTATAAGCCCTTATTTGTCAGGGTTTAGGGCTCAGTTGTAAAAAGAGAGTTCATTTTGATGTTTGATATAAATTCTCACTTTATACAGAGCTTTTTCTTTCAGAAGGTACTGCTGTATTTCCTAAGCTATACATGAATATAGGATCTGAAATGCAGCTGGCTCACAGCATATTACAGAACAACCAAGTGGACAGAAATCAGCTGTTACACCTTATAGAAGCACCTACAATTTTATATTTTGGTACAGCACCCCTCAAGCAAGTCAAAAACAAACATTTATTTTTCTGAAGTTTCTGATTAAAATGAATACAATGAACTATGCATGTTTGGGCCAAATTCAGAGGCAATAATCTGCAGATCATCTAAGGGAGACGGGGAATAACGCTTATCTCTCAGGAAAATTACACTTACAACACTTCTCTGCTATGGTGGGGTATATTTGCACAGCACAGCGCTGCTCCTGCTTCTCAGCAGGCTATATTAGCCTAGGCAGAAGTCAGCACTAACATAACATGGCTACTTTTGGAGCCATCTGCAAACTGCTACTCCATCTGAAGGTAGGTATCTAAGTAACAAAGCAGAAGTCAGCCAACAGATCAAAATTGGCATTTTAGCCCTCTAAGCTCAGGTGACATGGTCTGTGCTCTCTCCACTCACAGCTATCTCCACCTAATGAGATTTTGCTCTTATTCAGGTGAATTGCTCAGCTGCTCTGGCCATAAGCAGCTTATTGTTTTACTTGAGCTGTATGAAAACGTTTCATCCAGCCAATTCCACCTTGACACATGTTACTGGAGGAGCAGCATGTCTGACAGATCTCAGTGTAATTTCAGTGGCACAGGGATCCTTACTGAAGTACTTTGCAAGTCCATTCTGAAAGCAGAAGCAAAACATTGCCTTCACAAAGAAGCATATGATACTGCTTGTGCCTGCAACCTGTTATTTTGATTACCCTATCTGCAGTCCATGCTTTCTCTGATAAACAAGAAACGAACAACTGCAGACCATGAAAACTGCCCTACATAAGCAGCATGGGAACACATCTTCCCTTGCAACTGTGCCATCCCGTCACCTTTAACCATTATATTTCCATTTCATTCCCATTTCTAATTTTTTTTCCAGCCATTTCACTTGAAGTCAACTTAAACGGATGAGTAGTGCTGCCTCTCCAACTTCTCTCTACATCATGAAGGGCAGGGCATCCACTCAAGAAGTGAGACTGCTGTTTAAGACAGAGAAATTTCTCTGACCAGTTTAGCATTTTCTATGGATTATTAACAAGCACTGACCCACTGACAAGGTAATGTCTGTAGTAAAACTGAAGTCTCAACAGCTCCAATGTATTAAATATAACTTGGATATTTTTGCAAGCAGCAGGTTACTTTCCAGTATCCTGGTAAATCATTTCATGCTCCTTCTCTCTGTGGTCTTAACTAGCTAAGTTATGTTTTTTTCATTACCCCTCTTAAAATCAGGTCTGCTTCGTGTTTATACATCAGAAGTGATGTACGTATGCATAAACACTCAACATCCATAAGAATAACTTCTTATCACTGTTGTAAAAGTGTATCACTGATTTATATGCCATCGGAGCATTACAAGAAGTATTTTACTATTTTATATGCGTACTCATATAGTGTATAAACAAAATACATTTAAGCAAAGCTGAGGCTATGAAATCAAATATTTGGTTTGATTGCTATTCTGCTTTTCTTTCAATTGTCCTTTCAACCTTGCTCCAATTCTTTTCATGGCATAATATACCTTTTACTTACATCATTTAAAGTACTTATTCCCTCGTTCACACAAAGGGTCTTGAGGACTCCTTCAGAATATGTTTCTTCTATAGTAGACATGCAAGGAAGAGTTATCACTGTACAGGGGGATGGTTGCAGTTTGAGGAAGTAGTGGGAGTTTTACGTTAATTACCCTGAAGAACACAAGTATTTATTGTCTTATGTACTGCAAAGGCCTCCGTGCTCCGCTTTGGGACCTGTATGAATATCTGCTACTTTGCCACACATTTTGAAACTTTTTGCTCTAAAGAGTCACTGCTAGGAGAAAGCAAAGTAATGTAGTTGCCCATGCCAGGTGCTTTCACATTAGCATTTTCTAAGAAAGTAAACGACTGTGGGAGCTTCAATTAGGGATGTCCTTTAGCTTTCGTAGATTTAATTTTCTAAGTCTGATGTCCTTCTGCTTAGCTCTCACCACCTACTCAGAAATGCTTCTCACATTGCCATCTCAATTGGTGGCACTTGTCTGCTTGGTCAAACACCTAGATGTACTGTTCAATGAAGAACGGAGCTTTGAGGCTGACATTTGACACATTATCAAGCTATCTTATTACCACTTTAGGGATGTGATCAGATTAAAATGTGTGCTCTCACATGCAGATGCCAAGATTCTTGTTCATGCTGTCATTATGTCCAGACTTGAGTAATGCAATTCACTTTTCTCTTTCCTAACGAACAAAGCTTGCTATTTCTCTTCTTTCCAAGCCCATTTTTACAGAGATTTATGACTGTATCCTATTTGATGTCCCATAAAAAGATTTAAATATTGTGAAATAATTGAACTGATAACGTTTTAATAGATACCAGTTTATTTTATCCTTTTTTTTTTTTTTTTTTTTTTTGTTTTTCTATATATCCAATGCATACAATAGGCCAAATGTAACCTTATTTTAAAACAATTGTCTCAATGGCATTTTACTAAAACCAGGGATGAAATTGATTTATTTATCACATACATGTTATATATACTTTGTTTGCTTTAGTGACAGAACCAGTCTTTTAGAATTAACAGCTTTATCATCATAGCCTTTTATCAAAAAGAGAAATTGAAATTCTTTTAAATAAATGAAATCTGAACATTTCTCCCCAAATTCTAAGACATGGTTCTTGAACCTTGAGAAAAGTTTCATTTTGGAGAAAAGTCATTCATTACATTAACTCCAGCTTTGACCTCTTCTGATGCTAGGGACAGGACTTTACCATTTTAAATCCTTGGTAAAGTATTCCTTTGACTAATCTCCTATTCTGAAGATTTGTATGATATTCAGCCTACATTTCCCTTTGTTA